CCTCACTCTCATGCCATACCTGTAGTCCAGGGGCTTTTCATATTTGTCAGAGGGCTTGAGGCCTTCATATACCTGGGGGCAAGGAGGAAAGGAGTCACAGGAAAGCAAGACCTGGCCCCATACTCGCCCCAAGAACTTGTTCAGGTTCCTCTTGGCCTAGTCCCCTTGGCCCTTCACTGATCCTATCTCAGCCTGACCCTAGGTGGTGCAGACCTGTGTGAAGACTGCATTCTTGCAGGCAGGGTCTCGAGAGGGGCAGGCACGGTGTTCCATGGCAAGGCGGCGGTTGATGTATAGGCGTGGCATGAAGCTGGGCTTGCTGCTCTCTGAGTCACGCAGGCACTGAGCCACCAGGCCAGGCCGCTGGCGGGACAGCAGTAGGAACTGCTTCACTTGCTAGTGAGGAGAAGTGGCCAGAGCAGGAAGGAGTGGGCAGTCAGCCTCTGTCCAGGCTCTGGAACTTTCCTCTCTGCCTGTATCCAATTCCACCATTTTAGTCCAAGTCTAGTCCATTCCTGTCCTTGTCTCCAGTCCCTTCCTTAGTTCAGCCACCAGGGAGAGCTTTCTAAAACAAAAAAATTCTAATACTGTCATTACCTTACTTACTTTTCCAATAGCTCCACTATCCTGGGACAAAGTCCTTGCTTCACAGCCTGGCCCACAGGGCCCTCTGCAACCAGGGCCTGCCTCCTGCCCACATCCTCCCACCCTCATCCCTCTGTCATACTCACACCTATCTGTACACTTTTCTCAAGTCATCTTGAGCTGCTGTTAACTCCCGGTATGTACCTTTCACGCAACCTGCCCTGCCTGTGCTGTCAATAGCTCTTGGGTATTCCACACACTCATCTGGGCAGCGGCCTCCCAAACACTAAATTTGGACCATCTGTTCTGGCTTTCTTCCTGTGTTCCCAGACCCAGCAAAGGTCTTGCCCTAGAGCAGGTTTCAGGAACTCTGCTAAGGCATGAACAACTACATGAGCAGGAAGGGGGAACGCACTGCCGAGACCAGCACTGGGTGGGACGGCTCACCTTAATCTCACTGAAGGTGCCCAGTGTGTGGTCCCAGGCAGGTACCAGGTGGTGCAAGACACTATCGAGGATCTTGATGAATCTGGCATGGGTGGGTAAAGACTGACTGCAGCTAAAGAGTTTGGCATACATTTAAGACCCCCAACTCCCCAACATACAGGGACAGGAGAAGGCAGGACCTGGGGGCTTCTCTGACCCTTGAACAGCTTATACTATGAGACCTTGGGAACCTCCTCCATGCAGACACACAAGGCTCAATGCTGGGGGAAGGGAAGGGCCCACAGGTCCAGGGCCACAGCCACCTCTGCAGGAGGACAGCTCTGCGGTACAGTACTTCAGGGTCGGTGCCTTCCAGGCGTGGGTATCGCACCAGACTAGTCGGCTGGAACAGGTCTGCATTCAACCCTAGCTCCCGCTGTCTAGAGGACTTGATCTTGACCCCTCGGAGACGAACATCAATCCCATCATCTGGGGAAAGGGGTCAGAGTGAGGTCATTTACGGCACCTGCTGGCTCCTCGGCCCTCACACCTAGGAATGGCTCCTTGAACGCTCAGCCTTTTGTCACCCTTAACCCTAGAAACTTGGGACCTTCGGGATCACCTTCTATCACCTGACTCTGATTTATCTATTCCTGCTGATTCCTCCGTCTTCCACTATAATGCTGGCATGCCTGAGGGTCCCAACTCAGTTCCTTTTCCAGGTGAGCCCAACCACCTGTATGGCTTTAAGGCAGGCCTATACCTGGCACATCCCAGCTGCTCAGGCCCCAAAGCTCCAAATCTCGGAGTTAGTTCAGCATCACCTTCACCCCAACTCCAAGCCTATCCTCTTCTCTCCACACTCACTGTCTGTCTGCCCCATCTCCACATCGGGCTCTCTTTCCCTCCTTAGAGCCTTAAGCCTCACCTCGGCACTCCACGATGCGGATCTCGATGATCGGGAGGTGGACAGTCATGTCCTCCAGGACACAGACATCACCAATCAGGGTCCTGAGGAGACGAGTGTGAGGCACTTCGGATACCTCCTGCCTCAGGCCTTCAGAGACTGCTGGAGTCTCACTCAAACTTAGGCTTCCAAGCTGGGCTAGGCTTGGAACACACCCTACTTCCCTCCCCAGGCCAGTGTGCTCACTCGTCAATGCTCACGTCACTCAGCTTCTTCAGGTTGTCCCCTTCGCCCCCATAGACCACCACCCGCTTTGGCATAAAGTTGTCATCTGTGGTATCTACTGTAAGTAGCAGCTTCCTGAAAGGTCAGAGTGTGAACATGAGTCTTTGTGAACCCACAGGAATGTGGCTCACCCATCCTGTCCTGCCCAGAGCCTACTTACTTGACAATGGTGCCCTTCTTCATGGTAAGCCGTACCCAGTGCTGGCACTGGGACCCATCGCTCTCCCAGTAGGTATCGGCATTGCTGTCTGTCAGGCAGGATACATTGAACTCCTCCTGGGGAGGGGCAGAGAGGTGGAGTCAGTAGTTACCCTCCCTCGCTGAGCTGGGCTTGTGCTCTGGACCAGGAGGACCAGAGAGAAAGCAGAGTGAAGCTGGGCTAACAGGCAACTGGTATGGGATAGGGGGCCGCTGGGTATGTAGGGGTTCCTACAGACTTCCAAGATAGGGAGCTGAAGTGAGTGTGGCCCGTGGGGACCCTGTTTTGGTCCTGGCCTGGAGGTGGGGGTTCTTTCTGGATCTAGCCTTGAGGGGTGTGACTATATCTTGCCTGGGGTGGGAGGAGCCCCAGCACCCACCGTGTAGGAGGAAACGTCTATGCTCTCCACATACTGCTTCACGCTACCCAGGTTCTCATCCTCCTTGCCCAGGTGGTCATACAAGAAGTGGATCAGGTCCTCGTCGCACTCGTAGGTCCATGTCGGGGGTACATAGCTAAGCAACCCCAAGCCCCTAATTAGACTGGGCCCAGACGCAGAGCTCCTTCCTCCCCACCCCATTCCAGCTCACTCACAGTAGCCTTTGTACAGCTTCTGCGTATGCCTCTGCTGGCTGAGGTCTCGATCCCAGGCGATGTGAGTATGTCAGGTCCACCACCTGTTCCCACCTGTGGGCACAGAGTAGGGAGTGGGAAAGGGAGACATCAGCGGGCAGCAGGACACTACCTCCATGCCGTGTAGCCTTCTCCTGGGCTCTATCTCCCGGTCTCCAGACGCCCCACCCGAGCCCCCTTCATGTCCCGCCCCTTCCTGTTCTTAACCCTGCCTCCACTCCAGTATCCCACCCACCCCAGGGTGCGGCTGAAGTGTTCCCAAGCCGTCCTGGCCTGGCCTTCGGACAGCAAGCCCCGCTCCTTCAAGTGCAGGACCTGAGCACCGGCCGATAATCCACGCCAAAGAGCTGCTGCTGCCGCTGGAGGTGGTTGGGAGTGTCGATGGGTACCAGGCGGGCTCCGCCCTCCGCCGGGCGGCACACCAGCAGCCAGCCTTCCTGCAGCCCGCAGTCGCCCAGGTGCTCTGCCAGCTGCTCCTGCCGGGACGCGCCGGATGGGGACAGCCGTCAGGGAACTGCCCAGCCGCCTGTCCTACCCAGCCCAGGGCAAAGGGCACCGAACGCAATGCCAACTCAATACAGGGGAGGAAAGGGAAACAGCCAGAGGTTTCTCTGGCCCCGGGGGTCTTTTACCTGGTCCTGGGTGGGGAAGAGCTCACCTTTGTCAGCTTCACCCAGAGCCCGTGGCCGTTGCACAGCTCCTCGCCCGTGGTGCGCACGCAGGCGCCGCGCCGGAGCTCGATGCTGTCGCGGGCGGCGCGGAGGGGCCCGGAGCCGGTTCCGGGGGCTGGGCCTGCGGCGCCCACACGCAACCCCAGGCCCTCTGCCTCCCACACGGGCAGGAGCACGCGCGACGGTCCTGCCGGGTCCTTGTAAAGCTTGTAGAGCACCTCTTGCGGCACGAAAGCCAGCGCTGCCGGCAGCGGCCGCCCAGCGCGGAGGCTCCGCGCTGCCTCCGCCAAGAAGCGCACGCGGCCCAGCAGCTGCCGCGGGGACTCCAGCACCGCGCCCGGGCCAGGACCCGCCATGGCTAAGTGGCGGAGGTGAGCGCCTAAGGGCGATCCTACCCGGTGAACAGCTGGCGCGACCGCGGACGGAGCTTCCACCACGCCCTGCCCCGCCTTTGGCCAGCCTTCGCCGTATGTTCTGGACTAAGCGCACCCAGCGCTCACCGTATTGCACTGTGTACTCCTACACCCAATCATATTACCTACCTCTGTGCCACCCTAACCCAGCCGACCAAACCCAAGATTGGTGATTTCTACCTGATCAATCTCCTTCTCTCCATTTCCTTGCTACTACCATTTTATCTCTACTGCTACTACCCTCATTCAATAACCGTTCTATCTGGCCTGGATCATTGCCAACATTTTTCTGGTTCTTCGGCCTGCTCTTTTTCCTCCCACTCCCAACGAATTTGCTGGACTCCCTATCCTATAGGTGGTGTGACTAAAATGTTTGAGACAATGGCTCCTTCCCCTGCCACTGACAGGAGTCTTGAGTCATTCGGGTTCTGTTTGTCACTCCTAATCCCAAGGACACTGGTAATCGTTATTCATTTTAATGTGATTACTGATTTCTGTTTTCCCAGTCTTATAGCTTCTTAAAGACCGGGGCTGTCTTGAGCAGAGCTAACCTCTACACCTACTGTAGGTCCAGGCTCTTAGTAGGTAATGTAAGTATATGACGATTTCAGTTTCCTGAGCAGCCTGGTTCCATCATCCTCAGTATGCCTGGCTGAATAAGACTATTAGAATCATGAGTGGGACTTGAGCCAAGCCTCCGGATACCCAGACCGTCAGATGAGAACAAATTCCTCATGTCACCGTAACATACAGTTACAGCGGGGTTCTCTTTTCAGCGTTTGTTGTTGCGTCGCTACAGCGGACTTTACGGTGAAAAAAGGTAGGGGTCCTACGGGCAGCAGCCAGGGCAGCCCTGGAGCTGTCGCGGGAGTCTGATCATGTGATCTTCAACATGGCGACGCCCTTGATTCCCTACAGAAAGGGGCGGAGCCTGGACGGGGTGGGGGCAGGCTCACATTCAGGTTAACTTGCGAATTGAGCTCGCAGTTACAGACAGCTGACCATGGAAGCGAACGGGTTGGGGTGAGTTCTCCAGAGCACGCGGTGTGGCTAGTTGAGCTTCTGAGTCTTCCAACTCAGGACTCTATCCCTGTACTCCCCTTTCCCCACCTTGGAGATCTCTCAACCTGGACTCTGTTAGCTGGGATCCTGAATCCTAAAACCATGGATTTTTGAGACGTTCATCCCAGGGGCCTTAATTCAAGGGATGCCTCAGGATTTCCAACCAGGATCTCTATTCTGGGACCATCAACTCTCATCCCTCTTTATCCCCCAGCCTGGGGATCTCTCAGCCTCTGAACCAGCCCAGTGACATTCCCGTTTCTGAGACTCCGTAGTCCGAAGACCCCCAAACTATCCTTCCTGGGCCTTATTTCCTCCCCCTAGTCCCTCTAGTTGCTTCGAGCTTGGGAGAGTAGGGACTAAGTGGAGGGAAGAGGCCCCAGGGCGGGCCCTTCTAGAGTTTGTGCACCACCTGATAGGCAGAGAGGCGGCGGAACGGGCGGAAAGCCAGGGTTTGGGAGCTGGCCTGGAGGAGGTAGATAGCGGTCCTCGACTAAATCAGCCTTATGAATCCGCACTTTACCCAACCTCCAGCCTAGCATACTGACACCTACCCCTACCCCCACCTGATTACCAGACCTCAGGGTTTTCCGGAGCTGAAGAATGACACATTCCTGCGAGCAGCCTGGGGAGAGGAAACAGACTACACTCCCGTTTGGTGCATGCGCCAGGCAGGCCGTTACTTACCAGGTAAGAGTCAGGCCCTGGAAATCTAGATAAAACTCCGGAAGGCGAAAAGTTTTCAAGGGGCAGGGGAGGGCTCTGGAGGGCCTCAAGGCTAAGCCCCGTCTTCCCTCTGTATGCAGAGTTTAGGGAAACCCGGGCTGCCCAGGACTTTTTCAGCACTTGTCGCTCTCCTGAGGCCTGCTGTGAACTGACTCTGCAGGTGAGGGGTGCACAAAAGAGGGAAAGATTTATGCCTTCAGTCTGCCACCTAGCAACCCGTCTCCTGTTTCCTACAGCCACTGCGTCGCTTCCCTCTGGATGCTGCCATCATTTTCTCCGACATCCTTGTTGTACCCCAGGTACCTACTCAAATCTGATCCTGGAATATAATCCAAGGACCCCTTGAAAATCCTTCTATCAGTCCAGTCAAGGTTTACAATAAGCACTTATCCTAACTGGATCGAGGGAAAAACTAAGGTTGAAAGAGATGGAGTTTGGCAGTTTTATTCTCCTTTTCCTTCCTTCTGGAATGAGCTGAACAGAACCTTTCCTCCTGGATTCCATTTTGGGAACCCAGATGTTTTCTCCCCCTCCAGGCACTGGGCATGGAGGTGACCATGGTACCTGGCAAAGGACCCAGCTTCCCAGAGCCACTAAGAGAAGAGCAGGACCTAGAACGCCTACGGGATCCAGCAGTGGTAGCCTCTGAGCTAGGCTATGTGTTCCAAGCCATCACCCTTACCCGACAACGACTGGCTGGACGTGTGCCGCTGATTGGCTTTGCTGGTGCCCCAGTAATGTGGGACAGGGCAGGGACTGGCGGCGTGGGAAAATCACTCTGGCAGGTCTGGGGTAGACAAAGGAAGGGTCAGTCTGGCTTCTGTACATGTGACACCATCTTTCTATCCTTCTGTAGTGGACCCTGATGACATACATGGTTGAGGGTGGTGGCTCAAGCACCATGGCTCAGGCCAAGCGCTGGCTCTATCAGAGACCTCAGGCTAGTCACCAGCTGCTTCGCATCCTCACTGATGCTCTGGTCCCATATCTGGTAGGACAAGTGGCGGCTGGTGCCCAGGTGAGTCCTGAGAGAGAGAGAAATAGGCTGAGATTTGGTCTGTAAGGACGAGAAGCAAGTGTCCTAAACCTGAGAGGGCAGGGGTCTTAATGCCAGGGATGAAAGAACCTTGGCCTCCAGTGATCTAGCTGAGCAGCCAAGCCCATCCTGACACTGGCAGTGGGGCTTAATGCTCTGAGTATTCAGAGACCAAAGCTAGTGCTGGGATCTGGAGAAAGTAAAACTTTTTTTTTTTAATTACTGGATTTATAGGGTCAGGCAGTATCAGGGATTGAAGTCATTTGGGGAAAATTGAGGTGGATTTTGTATGTGGGGGGAGCTTCCTCTTTGTTACATATTTGTCTTCACCATACCCTAACTAGGCATTGCAGCTGTTTGAGTCCCATGCAGGGCATCTTGGCCCACAGCTCTTCAACAAGTTTGCACTGCCCTACATCCGTGATGTGGCCAAGCGAGTGAAGGCCAGGTTGCGGGAGGCAGGCCTGGCACCAGTGCCCATGGTGAGGATTGGGATGGGTTGAGTGAAGGTGGGCCTGTGGAGCTTTCAGGCTAAGTCCTGCATGGACTGGAGTGACCACTGGAGGGCAGCAGAAGTACAGTCAAGAAAGATTAGCAAGGCCCTCTGTAGCCTAAGATCTGCTTTTTTTCCAGATCATCTTTGCTAAGGATGGGCATTTTGCCCTGGAGGAGCTGTCCCAGGCTGGCTATGAGGTGGTTGGGCTTGACTGGACAGTGGCCCCAAAGAAAGCCCGGTAAGCTATGGAAGGGTGAGGCCTTGAGGTTGAGGTGGGGGTGTGGAGCTGCCACGTATGCGGTTACCAGAACGTGGCGCTGGCTTTGCTTCCAGGGAGTGTGTGGGGAAGACGGTGACATTGCAGGGCAACCTGGACCCCTGTGCCCTGTATGCATCAGAGGTAACAGACAGGGCCCCTCTGTGTATCTGTTACGGTGCACTCCTGTGGCTGTGGTTGTATTATTCTGTGTGCTTTTCTTTTTTAAATGTCTGTCTGTCCTTCTCTTCTACTCTGTATGTACAACATAAGCCCTAGGAAGACCGGACTTTTTGTTGCTGTTGTTCATTTGTATTTATGCTTCATGTCCAGACTAGGGATCTGATAAATTTTATTGAATGACTGAATGAGTTAACACTGAGTAGAAGCATACCTACATATGTGTTTGTCACTAGTATATGTAGGGAGGACAGAAGCTTGCTGGTCCTCCTGTAGCCAGTGCCCTGTTGGTCCCCTAGGAGGAGATTGGGCAGCTGGTGAAGCAGATGCTGGATGACTTTGGGCCACAGCGCTACATTGCCAACCTGGGCCATGGGCTTTATCCTGACATGGACCCAGAACATGTGGGTGCCTTTGTGGATGCTGTGCATAAACACTCACGTCTGCTTCGACAGAACTGAGTGTACACGTTTACCCTCAAGTACCACTAACAGATGATTGATCATTTCCAGGACAATAAAAGTTTCAGTGTTGAACTGTTGTGTAGTTTTGTTTGTGAAAGATGTGTGCCCATATCCTCAGTTCTTCTTAGCTTCTGCTCCTTCCCTGGGAACCCTCTCTATGTCCTCTTCACAAGTTATAGGGGTTAGGTATCACTGAATATGTACCAGAGCACTGAAGGATTCTCACTCCTATCTTACCTAAGTCCCAGAACTACATGGGGTAGGGTAGAGCTTTCGTAGCAGTTCAGGTTGTGACATTTGCAGAAAAATGGGTGGGGTCCTCACAGTATACAAAGGCTAAATTGATAGGGCTTTATGTCTGGGGAGGAAGGGAAGTATAATACATCAAAAAGGGGCACAGAAGGGGTTAGAATACTTCAGAGAGGCATGGGGAAGAAGATGGAGTCTAGGTGAGCAAGGAGAACATGAGGGACCCTCAGCTTTGACACCAAAATATAGGGAGGACATCAAAGCTCAGAGCTAGGTTGCTTAGGATTAGAGCTTTAGACAAGTCCATCATCAAGGCAAGAAGTCCTCTGAAACCAAAAGACCCTCTGGCACTCAAGGTTGCTTTATATTATTTTCTGAGCATCCCCTTTAATTTTCTCAAGATCTTGGTGTTTCCACCCTTCCTGGTGGTACCTGCTTCCCAGGACAAGGCTCTGAGGTGTCTGTAAGCTCTGGAGAAGGGTCTGGTATGGCAAGAAATTCTTTATCTGTCATTCTGCATCTCCTTGGACCACTAGGAGCCCACTGTGCTGTAGGCTGAACCAGCTCCCCGGCCCAGCCAGGGCAATGCAGAAGGTAGAGATGGGTTTCATTTAATGAAGGAACACAATTTCTGCTTTTAGAAAAATGATCGTTTATGTGATCCATGATTTATTCATAGAAAAGCACTGTGAGTTCACACACTTGCTAAAAAAGGGCAACTGTGATACAGAATGAGAGTGGCTTCTCTCTTTTTTTTAACCAACCCATTGGGCTGAGACGTAGGGGCCCTTGGCTGGACAGTAAGACTTGAGTAGCCACAAACGGCAAATACAACTTCTTCGTCAGTTTGGAGTAAAAAAAGTGACAGTTTGTCAAATAAAAAGTAAAGCAGATGGAGAAGTTCTTAGTTCACATTCTAGCTATACCACCCCTTCCCTATCACACCCCACCCCTAACTCAGGAACTAAGATATGAAACAGTAAACACCAAGACACTGGTATCCAACTGACTCTTCTGAATGCCTTTGCTACCTCCTGTAACAATTCCAGGCCGAGCATAGAGGTCAGGAAGGTAGCAGGAACATGATACACTGTGGAGGTCAGCCAGGGCTAAGACAGGGCTGCCCACTAGGGCTAGAAATTAGGAAGGGAGAGGCTAAGAGCAGACCAGCCCTAGCCTCCAAGTCAGCGAGCAATGAGACTGTGACAAAAGCAGGCAGAGGAAGCTTGAGGTAGAAAGGCAGGGGAAGAAAGCAAGTATGGGGGTGAGAAGAGAACTGTGGAGCTAAAGCAGCCAATCTGATGGCAGAGGGAGATTGGTGCTTAGAAGCTTGTTTGGTGAGAGAATGAATAGAGGCGGCACAGAGATGGGGAACAAACGTTTAGCTGGTGAGAGAGATTTAAGAGGAACAGCAAAGAGAAATTTGGCAAAAAGGAAGGACACATTCATGCAGATCCTCAAACATGAATACACAGACATCCCTACATGTAGAAATATGCTCAGTTACACATATAAAGACACGGGCGCATGGATAACAAGCATACACACAGATACAAACATGTTTATACACATGCACTCATGTGTGCCCAGATACACATACACACTAAATATGCACAAACAGTGCATTTGCACATAGATGTGCATCCTCACATGTATGCAAAATGTGTATATCCTCAGGTAGAAACCCAGTCCAGTGTGCACATATTCACACAGGTACACAGCCATAGAACTGACACATACACATAAATATATATGTGCACATACAGACAGGCATGCACAGATGTATCTATGCACATAGACACATGTACTTAGCCATACAGATACACACACACGATTATAGATGAAACCACACACTCTCTAACACAAAGGTGACCAGAGTAGATGAATATTATGAACTCAGCAGCTTCCCAGACCTTCATCTTCTCCCTGCACTTGTTTCTCAGGTGTTCAGCAGGCTCCTGAAGAAGCTGTGTGAGGCAGGAGCTTCAATGTCCTCATAGTTTTGTGAGGCAAAAGTCTAAGTCCAGTCCTGGCCTCTGTCCCTCACTCACCACCGGGCTATAAATGCCCTGTCTGTAGGTGGGGGATTCTGCATAGACTAGACTTGGGATTGATTCTAACTGGCCATTTTTCTCCTTGGCACCCCCACTCTTCCACTGCTACCAGCATACACTCTGCAAGGGAAACCTGAGAAATGGTTGTGAGTCTCCTCAGAAAATAAGCATATCCTCCTACCCACAGCTACTTCAAGTGCCCATCAAATCAAAACCACAATGATAAATAGTTGTAAGTTTACAATAATTAGCAACACATATACTATAGTATTTACAGTCCCATAGATGTGTTTGTTTCTCTGGTTAAGCAATCCCTGAGACGGAACAGTGTTCTGTGTTTGCCAAGGGAGACAGGGCCAATGCTCAGGACACGCTGGATACAGGGACATGAGGTGGCATGTTGTGGGGTTTCTGGTCGATCTGCAGGGCCCAGCTCCTCCATGAACAGTAGGCTGTAGTGAGAAGCTTGCCAAGGTAGGCATATCAACTAGAGTTAGACTTTCCCCATCCTTAGCCCTGTGGTCCTTTGGCCTCAGCCACAGGTGCTCAGAGTCCTCTCAGGGTGGACAAATGTTTCAGTGTCCTTGGCCTGACGTGATACTACCTGGGAACCCAGGCTGCCCTGGCGGTGAGCTATCTGCTCTCTCAGCCAAAGCGCTCTCGCACCAGCAGCATCAGTTTTTTCTTGCCTTTGTAGATCTGTTTGAGGTTGTCGATGAACTGGGCAAATTGCAGGTGGCCATCCTGGGGCAGCAGGAAGGTCTCCCGAGCCTTGCTTAGAAACTCAATGAACTCTCCATAGTGGCGAGGGCTGATGTGTGTTAGGCGTGAGTGTGTAGTGTTGATATAGGCATTGATGGTGGCATCTAACAACTGGCGCAATGGAGCTTTGTCAGTGGACATGAGCTTTCCAGAGCTGCGGCGGCCTGGGATGCCCGCCAGGCCAGGTGCAGTCACTGTGCAGCGTCGTAAGATGTCTGAAAGCACTGTGGCACAGTGCACACTCTTCACCACCAGGGGGATGAGAGCTGCCAGCTCATTCTTGCCCAGAGAGTGGCTGAGAGCACAAGCCCAGAGCACATCATTGATGGCGGGATGAGTATCCTGGTTGTAGGCCAGGTTAAGATGGCTCATGGCCAGTGAGGCCAGCTTGAAGGCACGGAGCGGGTAGCCACGGAGCTCCATGTAGCGGGCGATGGTGAACAGCTGCGAATGGGTCATGCCACCAGCAGCAGCATCAATGGCAATCTGATAGGCTGCCTCAAAGGCGATGTGGTCTTTCTCACAGAGGGTAAGGGCTGACAGGGCACAGCTCTGTGGATCCTTCATAGCACACTGTAGGGCCAGCGTGCGAGCACAGCTAGCCAGTTCCTCCCGCTGTGGATAGTCAAGACTGAGGCGCAGGATAGTGGTGTGGGATACGGCTGTGGCAGCTACAATACTAGTAGCCTCAGTAGGGGTGAAGAGTGTGTACCAGCTCTGCAAGATGCTCACCAGGGCCCGCACACCTGTCAGGGAGAGCCTGAGCTCAGCCGTGGCCATCTGGGTCCTGATTCAGGTCTACCGAGATTACCATTTGGGGTTTGAACTTGGCCTGCAGCGATGAGTTCTCCCTCCTCAGCAACCCTGAGATGATATGAGGCAAACCAGGGCAAGGGGAGCATCCCAGATGGCCAGACCCTGTTTGGGGTCTCTTTCTATCCCTTCTTTCCCCAGGTTAGAGGGTTGAAGGTTTCTGCAGGTGCTCTTGACCCCTCACAAGGATGGGACAGTACAGCCTGGGGTTTGCTTGCCCTGAGGCATGGGTTGCAGATCTGCCAGGGGTTCTAGCTGAAGTGGGGCCTCTCAGGGTAGAGTCTTGTGCTGGGGCTTTGGGCTTTAGAAAGGGTCCTGAGCCTCCAAGTTGTCTGGGGTTTTTCACAAGCATGGACACGGATGGGGACCAAACCACTGGGCCCACTACCTCCGAAGGGAGCACTTGAGTAACAACTGAAAATTCATTCTCTTAGACATGTCTCTGATGAGAGAATCAAGTGCTGCTGACATCAGGATATGGTTCAAGCAATGAGGACAGGGCTTGGGCTGGCTGAACAGAGGCCACCTTCTCCTACCAGCAGCCCCATCCTTTCTTAGGCCATCAGGAATAGGAATATGAGAGCTCTAAGGATTCACTGTCCTGTCCCAAGAGTAGGGCCTAGAAACCCCTTTCCGCTGGGAGTAGAGGGAGGTGGGAGACTCACCCACTTCTGTAGCACAGGTCACCAACCATCGTACCATCTCCCTGCGTCTCCAGTTAAGGGTTGATAAGGTCATCCGCATCACCTGGGCACAAAAGAGGCCTTTCCAGTGGGCTATGCCTAACTGTTGTGACCTCTCCCTTCCCTTGCCATTCATTTATGCAACAAATATTTTCTGGTGCTTTAAACAGTGGTCTTTCCCCTGATAAATATAAAATACAGTTTAATTTCTTTCCTAGCTCTCCCACCAATCAGATAGGAGGCTTCTCTGATGATGTGCAGCAAAGTCCTTATTATCATACCTTACTTGACTTGCAGAAATGGGGAGGTAGACAGAAGACAGGGACCCCATGGAGCCTAAAGCTGTATCTTGCTTCTGGCCTTAACTTAAAAGTGGAGCCCAATTTATGAAATCCTTGCCTTTTCCCTTGTCTAGAACTTGTGTTCTGGGCACAAAGAAAGAGCCAGACTTGGCCTATGCCCAGTCTCCCAGAGATCTTACCTTCTCCCAAGTGTCACTAGGGCAGAAGTC